GACGGACCTCGAGTGATCAATGTAATTCACTCAAGGGTCAATGAGAACGAGGTACGTGGGGAGATTCAAAGGGTGAAGCACTTGCAGCATGTGTATCCGGTCCAGCAAAAAAGGCTTAGGACAAACAAGTGCCAGGGACCAATGGTGTCCTTTACTGAAGCAAACCTAGATATGGTGCAGCATCCACACAACGATGCTCTGGTAGTAACCCTCAAGATTGAAGAATGCCAAGTAAGGCGCATTCTGATTGACCGAGGCAGCTCTTGTGACATTATGTATGTCAGATGTTACAACGAGCTCAGCTTTCACCGAGATGATCTGGAGCAGTCCAACAGCCCAATGGTCAGGTTTAATGGAACGCCGACATGGCCTCTGGGAGCAATAAATTTGGAGGTGCAGGCATACACCAAGAAGGTAAGTACAGAGTTCACAATAATTGACACTCTCTTTCCTTACAATGTTATGTTAGGGAGGCCATGGTTGCATGCAATGAGGGCAGTTCCCTTAACATTGCACCAACTGTTGCGGTTCCCAACAGAGTATGGAATTGAGGAAGTCAGAGGAGATCAGGTGCAAGAAAAAAATTGCTCCATAGCAGTAATGAAATCCACCTACAACGTGCGAGAGGCAGAAACAGTAGAAATTGAAGATGAGGACATATAGGTCCTGGATGACGTCGACAAAGAACCGGCCGACAAAAGCTAGGAAGCCTTAAAGAAAATTCTGGTCTAATAAGAGGATGGAGAGCACTTCTTCCTTCTCGGCTCAGGCTTGGTCGAGAATGAGGAAAGGTAATTAGAAGCATTCTTACGAGAAAAAATAGAGGTGTTTGCATAGACACTCTACGAGATACCTGGCATTGACCTCGAGGTCACATGTCATATGCTCAATGTAGACAAGTCGGCTAATCCTGTTATCCAGCGAGCAAGGAGGCTGACATTGATGCATGTTGAGGCGGTTGAGGAGGAAGTGGAAAAACTACTGGAAGCCAAAGCCATTCGCAAGGTGAACTACCCTACTTGGCTATCTAACACTGTGGTGGTGAAAAAGAAGAATGAGAAGTGGAGGGTCTGCGTGGACTTCACCAGCTTGAATAAGACTTGTCCAAAAGACAGTTTTCCACTGCCCAAGATTGACCAGTTAGTAGATGCCACTTTAAGGCATGGAAGGATGAGCTTCTTGGATGCTTACAAGGGATACCATCAGATAGCAATGTATCCCCCCAATGAGGAGAATACTGCATTTATCACCCCGAAAGGGTTGTATTGCTATAGAATGATGCTTTTCGAGTTAAAAAATGCAGGAGCAACCTACCAGAGGTTGGTGACCAAGATGTTCAGACATCTAATTGGCAAAACAGTGGAAGTGTACATTGATGACATGGTCGTAAGGACCAAAGAAGCTGAGAATCACCTGGCCGACTTGAAGACAGTTTTCGATATCCTTAGAACATATTGGCTCCGACTCAATAATTCGAAATGCGCATTTGGAGTTGGGTCTAGTAAGTTCCTGGGATACTTTGTTACCAGAAGGGGCATTGAGGCAAGCCCAGATCAAACCAAGGCTATCCTGGACTTGAAAAACCCGACATCGGTAAAACAAGTGCAGATGTTGACTGGAAGGGCCGCAGCCCTGAATAGGTTTATAAGCAGAAGTTCAGATAAGTGTAAACTATTTTTTGATTTGATGAAAAAGGCTACAGATTTCCTGTGGACAGAGGAATGCAAAGTCACCTTTGCCGACTTGAAAAAGTACCTGACATCAGCTCCAATCCTGTCAAATCCAGTACCTAGAGAAGACCTATTCTTGTACTTCTGTTTCAGAGCACGCAATGAGTGCGGTGATAATCAGAGAAGAGAAGGGAAAACAAAGGGCAGTATACTATGTGAGTAAAACCTTAGCAAGTGTAGAGACCAGGTACTTACCCTGGAAAAATTGACATTAGCCCTGGTAATGGCTTCGAAGAAACTGAATCACTACTTCTAAGCCCACAAGATTGTGGTACTGACGGAGCATCCTTTGAAGTTCCTGTTGTAGCAAGGAGATCTGACAGGAAGGGTAGCTAGATGGGTAGTAGTATTAGGCCAATATGACCTGTAATTTAGGCCCATAACAGCAATTTAGGGCCTGGTACTGGCCGACTTTGTGGCCGAGTTCACACCTAGTGTCGTCCTACGTCGAGCTCCGATGAGCCGCAGCTTAGGGTGTCCAGGGGAACAAGAAGAAACCTAACTGGGAATGAAAAACCCCACAACAGTTAGGCAGAAAAAGGTAAAGAAACCAAAATCCTGAGACATCTACATCGGCGACTCCTTCCGCCTGTTTGTTGATAGAAGTTCAAACCGTCAAGGAGCAGGGGTAGGAGTAGTGTTAGTATCACCAAATGGGCAAATGTTAGAACAATCTATTTGTTTGGGGTTCAAGGCCTCAAACAATGAAGCAGAATATGAGGCAATGGAGGCCGACGAGGTAACAGTCTTCTGTGACTCTTAACTTATTGTGAATCAGGCAACAAGCGAGTACGTAGCCCGAGACGAAAGAATGATAGCATATGTCAAAGAATTTGTTAGACTGCTAGCATTGTTCCAAGATTGCCGGTTTCAGCAGGTTAGCCGAGATGATAACAGCCATGTCGATGGCTTGGCTAACCTAGCTAGTGCAATGAAATCAGGGGAAACAAGGACAATAATGGTTGATTATTTGTCAGGCCCAAGTATGGAACCGCTGATCACAGAATACGAGGCAATGTGTGTAGAGATGGGCCCAAGTTGGATAGATGGAATAGTGGTGTTCCTTAGAGATGGCAAGTTGCCAGACGACTGAAAAGAAGCCCATAAGACTAGGTTTAGCCAAACAGTAGAGGGACATCTCTACAGAAGGTCTTTTACTGGTCCCCTTTTGAGGTGTGTACATCCCTCCCAGGTTGAAGACTTCTTGTATGAAATACACAAAGGGGTATGTGGTAGCCACGCTGGGGGGCAAATCACTTGCTCATATGGCCATTACTCAAGGGTACTGGTGGCCCTACATGCAGAAGGATGCTGAAGCCTATGTTAGAAAGTGCGAGAAGTGTCAAAGGTTCGCACCTTTAATACATCAACCAGCAGTAGATTTGAACCCAATGTCTAGTCCTTGGCCATTTGCCCAGTGGGGCATAGATCTTGTTGGACAACTGCCCCAAGCAACCGGGCAAAGGAAATTCCTGCTAGTAGTAACTAATTATTTCACAAAGTGGGTAGAAGCTGAACCCCTTGCGAAGATTCGAGATATAGACATAAAGAACATCATATGGAAGAACATCATCACCAGGTTTGGGATCCCAAGAACAATAATAGCAGACAATGGTACACAGTTTGACAATAAGCTAATCAAAAACTTCTGTGCAAAGTACAAAATCAAGAGTTACTACTCTACTCCAAGTTTCCCTCAAAGTAACGGTTAAGCAGAAGCATCCAATAAAACTATCTTGGATGGGATCAAAAAGAGACTGGAAACAGCAAAGGAAAAATGAGTGGAGGAGTTGCCCAATATACTCTGGGCATATCGGACTACGCTGAGAAGATCAACTTGGGAGTCTCCATTTGCTGTGGCTTATGGCACTGAAGTAGTTATCGCACTAGAAGTTGGCATTCCAGGGACCAGAATTTAGGGAGTGGAAAATGGAACTAATGAGGTCATTCCTGGCCCGAGATCTGGACCTTCTAGAGGAGAGAAGAGAGAGAGAGCAACAATTCGGCTGGGGGCATATCAACAGCAGCTTGCTAGGGCTTACAACAAGAAGATCGACCCAAGAAAATTCAAAGTTGGAGACCTTGTGTTGAGGAACGTAGTCGGCAACAAGAAGGACCCTAGGGAGGGCAAGCTAGGCTCAAATTGGAAGGGGCTTTATTGAATCATCTCGGTCACCAGCAATGGGGCATATCGGCTTAAGGACAGTAATGGCAAAGAGTTGCCAAGGCTCTGTAACACTTGCAACTTAAAGGTTTTTTATCATTAGATTTTTGTTTTTCGAAGTTTATGTCATTAGCCGAAGTAATAATAAAATTTTAGTTCGATTTTTTTGATATTTGTACAATAGGACTGACTAGTCCTATGACAATATTTCTGAATGAAACATAATGAGTAACTTAGACTTATTATATGACAGAGTTGAATTATACTTGCATATAATAGAGTTGAACTAAGTTGGTGATGTTTCTGAATGAAACATGGCGAATAACTTAGACTTATTATATGGTAGAGTTGAATTATACTTGCATATAATAGAGTTGAACTAAGTTGGCGATGTTTCTAAATGAAACATGACGAATAATATAGACTTATTATATGGCAGAGCTGAATTATACTTGCATATAATGAAGTTGAACTAAGTTGAATTAACCTGGACTTGCCATAGCGGCAGAGTCAAACTCAAAATGGAACTAAGTTCATTAACAGAGAAACCAAGATTGAAACACCTCGAGAAGTCTTTGTTTGAATCTGACTTTGGCGAAAGACCATAGACACATGCTTAATGTAAACTTAAGTGGAACTTTGGTTCACATTAGGGGGTAGGGAGCAGGAACTTGGGACTTGTTGCAATTTTCAAAAAAATTTACAAGTTAAAATGGGCTTCACTTGTTGACAATTTGGAGAAATTTACAAGTTGAAGTTAGCCGAGGTAATTATGAATAAAGCATCTGAGATACATATTACCCGAGGTGACCAACAAGGTTGTCCAAGATTGGAAAGAATGAAGTCTTAATATAAGATAGCATATGGAGGTAAAAAAAGTAATACTGAATAACACTTGTAAAAATATTTTGGTATATTTAAAGTGTTAGCCGAGGTATGCCAATTGTTCGCCGAGACAACAGCCAAGGTTTGCATCCGAGGTACTTTACCCCAAAGTTATTATACAGTTAAGGTATACTTTGAAGTCATACAAAAATATTCTAAGTATGAAAGCATACAAATGCATAGAAGGAAAGCAGTAAGCAAAGCATTTAACACTTAGGAAATAAGGAAGAAGGCAAGCATGCATTCAAGAGAAACTTGTTCAGAAACAAAGGCACTTCGGCCTGGCAAAAGAGATTACTCGTCCAAGCATTACAAAACTATTCAAAAGCAAAAATTCCTAAGTGATGGAATTATTGGCACTGGTATCAGATTGTTCAACCTCGGCTATTAGCGTTGTGTCGGCCTCAGTTGGCAATGTGACTTCCTTCTCCGCCGTTATCTCGACATCGATTTCCAGCAAGGTCTAGTCCAAGCTCTTCTCGACTGCCTGGACCTCGGCCTCAGAAGTGGTTTGTTTTGGAGAGGCTCCCTTGGAAACCAAGTCTTCCTCTTCATCATGAGTCAAGTGTAAGACTTGATCATTCAAAGTTAGGGACTTGGCCCCATTAGCAGTATCCTCCTCTTCTTCGGCGTCATCAGATTCGGATTCCTCTTTATCGGCTTCCCCATCTGACTTTTTGGAAGTTAGGGGAATAGCATTTAAAGTTTGCTGATATCTTGGAGGTCGGAGTCCATAGGGACAGATAATTTGTTGAGGGCTACAGTCCAGCCAAGATAGAAGCCTCGGTTACAGGCTTGGTTGACTTGATCTTTGTATACGTCATGGACTGCAGCTTGCCCTTCTAAGAAGGCCTTCTCGTCGATCGCCTTGATTTCGGCTTCCTTCGCGACCAGCACTTCTTGGAGCTCCGCCTTGACCTTGGCAGTTTTCTCCTCGGCATCTTTGATCTCAAATCTCAACACTTTGGCTACAGCCTCGGCCGCCTCAACTTTTTCCTCGACCTGGTCCTAGGCCTGTCTGGTTGCCTTGGCATGATCAAGAAGAACCTTGATTTTAGCCTTAGCGTTGTTTAGAGAAGAGAGAAAGCCAGCAGCTTCCTTGGTTTTGTGCACCAACTCTTCTTTGAAAGCCTCGGCTTTCATGGCGAAAGAATGAGTATGTTGGATAGCCTACGAGGAAAAAAACGAAAAAGTTAGTATAAAGAAATTAAAAAACAAGATAAAAGAGTACCAAGTGTTAGGTGCTTACCAAAATGGAATGCTACATCATCAGAGAAAAATTTTCGTATTCATTGATCTCGGGCATACGATTGAGATCGGTTAGAAGGAGCACAACTGTAGAGAGAACGGCACCGACCTCAATACTATTGATGGCACTGTCACCAGCCTTCATTGGCCGATCCCCAATCATGAGGGTTGGGGCCCAGGGCTCATCGGCTTTAAACGCACCCGAGGTTGCTATAACTTCGGACCTCGACTTCTTTGACCGAGCGGTATCAGTTGGATCGGCCTCAGCAAGCCTCTTCTCAGCAGCAGGGACTATTTTCTCCATCTCAGCAAGCTTCGAGATTGGTACTGTGTGTTTTGATTCGACTTGAGTGGCAGAGACTTTTGCCTTAGCCTTCTTTACCCTTTTTTGTTTTGGTTTTTGTTGAGATTGAGATGGTAAAGAAGAGGCAACAGTGACCACTCCTGGCAAGTCGGCCAAGAGGTCCTTAACAACTACTTTTCGGACCATGTCTTCAGTAATAGCAGTAAGGGTGACTTTGGTTCCGAAATGAATGGTTGGCAATACAGTTGGTGGGCTCGCTGGATCGTAAGCCGACGCCTCCGAATCCTAATGTTTACAGCTACGAGTCCTGTCTGCTAGTACGTTTGTTGGGGCACGACGTCGGCATCGGCGCTGTGATATCAGGATAAGTTGAGGGGCAGAGGTAGATGGCAACTCAACTGGATCTGAGGAGGAGGCCTGGTTTGGCCTGGGTGATGAGGAGTTGTAGCAGAAAGAGGAGTCGTAGCAGAAGGAGTCTTGCTTTGGTGTGGAACGTCGGCGGGGCCAATTTAGAGGTTGGGATATAATCAAGCAGTAGTAGGGCCTTGCGTTTTTCAACTAGCATATCTAGTAGCTTTTTCAGATCCTTTCTGGGGAAGAAATTTTGTCGAAAATCCTTTGCCGGCCAGGGAAGAGCTGCAAAAAAGAACAAGAAGAAAAAACGTTCAGAAAGGGATATATGAGTTAGCAAATCCTAAATAGAAAAAAGATTAAAAGGATGACTCAGTTCTTACCATCACTCTCTTTAAACATCAATTGGCGTAGAGGAAAGAGATGAAGATCATCATCAGGAGCAAACTCCTAATTGCCTAAGGCGATGAGGTAATCATCTCCAGTACCCTTGTTGCAGTTTGGGAGGTCGGCTATGATTTTGTATGCTGTGGATCTAGGTTTTAGGTAGTAAATGTAGCCTTTTTCAGACTTTAGACCACACATGATATAACAATACTGAATGTTGGCTAAAATGATCCTGGCCTTTTCTCGGCGTGTCAGCTCAATTATACCATTTATAACCCTATATGAATTGATGGCAAGTTGCATAGGGTTAAGCTTGTAATAGTGAAGGACCTCACAGAAAAGAGTGTCTAAAGGGAACCAAAGTCCACACTCTATAAAGGCAACTACGGGGAAGGGCATGGAGTCTCCGTCGGGCATGATGGAATCCTCCTCCCCGGCTAACCTAAGCTAGACGTCGGCAGGGATAGAAAATTCTCTCCTAAAGTATTCAAGTTTTTTTAGGGTATCCACTCTCCACCTGAACATACCCATTATCTCGGCTAAAGTGGTTAGATAATAGAGTGATGGATATAGGTTTGAATACCTCGGCTAAAACCTAAAATTGGAATTGGGGTGAGGGTTTTTTGAAGATCAAAGGGGAATTTGTTTCAATTTTCCTAAAATAATGTGATTTCTATCAAATCCCAAATCTAAGTCTATATGGAAACAAGAATCAAAGGCAAGAATCTGGAAACAAGTCAAAGAAAAATAGAAAAGAACATGATTCAGAATCAAGAAAGCAACATTTTTTGAAGAAACATTGAGTAGGTGTGTGCGGATGTGCAAAAGCCAAGAATAGTAGCAAAATTGTTAAAGCTTCAAGTTTATAAACACTATGTGCGGGAATCACGAACAATGTGAAAAGACACAAGGATATATTGTATAATGAAGATTGAAGAACAAAAATTGATTTGCAATGGCAACAAACATCATATAAACAAGTAACAGATTTGGAATAAATCAAAGAAATAATGAAAGACTGAACTTAAAGAGGGAAGAAATTGTGAACTTACCGAGTGGAGCCAACAGAAAGTACGCGGGAATGAGGATCGCCGGAGTCCAACGATGGTATTTTCTAGAGCCTGATAGTAAAAGGCTCACCAGAAGCAGTAGATAGGTGATCGCAGAAAGCTCACAAACACGGTAATGGAGGTTTGGAGAAAGATTCGTGGACAGAGAAAACTTTGAGAGAGAGTGCGAGAATGCGAAGTGAAAAGACAGAGAGAGTGAAAGAGTTTTTGTTAAAATGTGAAAAAGTGACAAAATGTAATTAAAATGCCTTGGACGACGTGCTTGTCATGCGGCGTGCGCAGAAGCGATGTGACCTGATAGTGCATGTTAGGTATGAACCAATAAGAAAGGGACGCGTTGAAAGAACGGTTGAGGAAACCGTGCGTAACAGCTCATGCGCAGATTAAACTCTTGGAGTTCTTGAGTTAATGAAGCAACAATCTCGACTAGAGGAACGACCTCGGCTAAGATGTCTAAAGAACTTGATTCTTGGTTCTTAACCCTTGGTAAAGTGGACATTTGAGTCCTGGGTACTTGAAGCCGACAAAATGATTTCGGTAGTGAAGAAGAAATGTAATTTAGCCAACATGTTATATGAGCAAACAATGTAGGTTCCATTACCTCAGATTGCCGAGATAATAGAACCTAGGGACAGTTGTGGGGACATATTTTGTGAATAACAACACGTGGCTAAGGTAACGCCGAAGAGTCAGCCGAGGTGCCACGTGGTCTAGTCTTGTCTTGATGTCGAGATGATCCCGGCTAGGCTGAGATTGTCTGCAGAGATACCGGAATCCAAGATGAGCAGATAAGGGAGAAGAGTCCTAGAACAGGAGAGGATCTCAGTCTAGATAAAGATAGAGCTCTTAGGTAGTTTATCCTTATCTAGCTGAGAGTCCAAGATGAGCATTGAGCCTGAGTCCATTAAAGTTGGGCCTCTACAGGGATCAGGTTACTGCTGCTTACAAAAACAAGGTACCCTCGTGGGTTTGAGATATGTTCTTTCTTGTGAGATGAAGCACAAGTTGCAATCTTTAAGAGATATTTGATTATTGACTTGAGCGTCGGAGTGCCCTCGAGTGAACGAACTACTACTGGATTTTTATCTTTCTGTGACAGGTTGTTTGGGCTTAATCTATTCTGCCGATGCTCTCCAGCTAAGTTTCCTGTTTGGTTATATGGTCAGAAATGAACACCCACAAATATATATGTATATATATATATATATATAAATCACTAAAAATATCATAAAAACTCATCTAAAAACAATTTAAAAAAAAATTAAACCGAACAATTTTTTGAAAACTCATATTTTAGATTTTATCCTTACGCGATTCCTACTACTTTTGCTTCAGCAGAATGCGTAACTTAAAATCTAATATCACATACATGGTATTAATAATCTCATATTTGTGGGATTATTCAAACCACTCAATGAAATAAATAATTCTTCTTCAAATTGTCTTCCTTTATTTATATAACAATAAAAATAATTCTTCAAATTTTATTTCATTCTTTATGTAATTCTAATAAAACATACTATAAATAATTTTGTCATATGTATAATTTCATTTATTATTTTCTGGTATAAAAATTGTGAAGCCCACGATATTACTTGTTCCTTAATTTTTAATTTATTTAAATGGGATGATTTGGAAGAAATAGTAATACTGGGAGAAAATTTCTCACTAAAAGTGCTAAAATTTGGAAAGCGAAACTCAATGGTTATCAAAATTTTCATAATACCGAGATTGTTGATTAAAAATAAAATAGAAAAAAAAGAAATCAACATATATATCATTCTTTCATATGCTTTACTTTCTTACTCGTCCTAATAAGATAGTGAAAAAATATAATAATTATTATTATTATTTTTTTCCTTTCAAATGACAAATCACAATAAATTTATTTATTTTTTGTTACACGTTATTAGAGGTGCAAAACATACCCAAAAAAGTTGAGAACGGAACCAACTTGACCTATATGGGTTGGGTTTGTTTAAATTTTTTAATACATTAGTTCGTTTCTATGTCTTAAAATTATCAACCCCATAGGATTGGATTGGGTGCCTCAACCAAACCAACAGAGACCCCAACTTATATATATATATATATATATATAATTCTATTTGTGTCTATGTTTTTATGTAATTGGTGTGTTGCAAATACTAAGATTGACTTGATGATACCCAATTATTTCATAGATAAGATCAAGGTTATGACTAATTAAATAAATGACTATTTGTGATTGTTGGCTTTTATTAAATTTTAAAACAAAAATTTACTTCGCTTTTTGTTTGTGTTGTGTTAACAAATGTTTAAGACTTGTTTATTCGAATAATGTATAGTTGATTGATTCACATATGTTTAGTAATTTCAATTCCAACGAACTCGCGGAATTGGTTTGATTTGATTCCAACGCAGGATTTACTTGATCCTGAATCTTAAAATTTAAAAATAATCATAATTAATTTGATTTTAACTCGTTGAGAACATATTGTTTTAATAATTTTTTGATTTTTTACAAAAAAAAAAATGTGCATAAAAGTAGTGATGTGATAACTTAATGGTTTTTTAATTTTTTAACTAAAACTAAAAATTGCCAAACAAGGCTTAACCTTTTCAAAAAAAGGAAAATTAGGTGTCCAAACCGAACCAATCACCAATTGTTGGGAGAGTTTGTCTCCAACCTATTGTTGTTGGGCGTAATGAACTCACTACGAGGCTCAATTTGAAGATCTCAACTATTTATGTTATTCAGTTTTTAGCGAAAATTATCCATACACAAAAAATAAATAAAAAATTAGATCAATCTAATAATAATAAATATATAATGTTATTAAATTTATTTTTAAAAACAATGAATGATCCATTTTTTAGATATGATTCATTTCTTTAAAGATAAATATAATAAAATTACATAGCTATAATTAACAGATTAATTTGATTTTTTTTTAATGTAAATGATTTACACCTAAAATTTAATAAAATGAGCGGCTCGAATCATCAAAACGGACCTTGTGATCGGATCTACGAAAGATTCAACATGTAATATCTCGAATAATACCTTTTTCAAAAATTATATGATAATCTATTTTTGAAATACCTTGAGCTAAATTAATTATCGTATAATTTTAAATAGTTAATTTGATAGTTTGAAAATCATATTTAATGTTGGTACATACAACCATCCTGAATAATACCTTTTTAGCAAATTATATGATAAAAATGCATTATTCGAAGTGTTACACAACAGAAGAATTTAAGATGCACGATACTCGCTATTGTAACTAGAAGTTCGCATCTCACTATTTTGTTCTGAAAATAGAGTAAGGATGCCCTTCTTGTAACTCTCTGAGAAGAAGCTAAGTACCTTTCCTTTTTTTTTTTTTGATCAACAAAAGAAAAGAAAACTTTATTGATGCACAAAGCAGAATACAAGCAAAGAACATCAACAAAGCAAGGGAAAGCACAAAGCATCGAATGCAAGCACTCCCCAACATTGACGAGAGATCAACCAAGAACAACCAAGAAACCAAAACATAATACCAAAACAAGAAAGCCACAAACACCAGACTACCTCGAACCAACACCAACACCTAGGGAATACTACAACAAAATTGAATTTTTACAACTTGCAATGCATACCGTAAAAACTCTTTCACGGCATGCACACAAATGCCGTTATATGACATGCCGTGGAAAGTTGAGCATCATTGACAGCATGCAGGTAAAGTTGTAAAAAGTAATAAATTAAACATTGATGATATACTTTGTATATCGTATATAATTTCTTACGACATTTTTGTCATGCCATAAATCATCATACTTTTCATGGCATAATTTTACATGCCGTAGAAGGTTATTTTTAATATATTTATTGCACACTTTGTATTTCGTATATAATATTTTACGACATTTTCTTGCATGTCATAAATCATTACACTTTTCACGACATAATTTTATATGCCGTAGAATGTCATTTTTAATATATTTGACATACTTTGTATGCCTTACATAATCTTTTACGACATTTTATTGCATATCATAAATCATTACACTTTTCATGACATAATGTTATATGTCGTGGAAGGTTATTTTTAATATTTAATATATATACAGGAATATAACTTTGCCTAACAGTATATAGACAGTAGCTTATAAAATACAACCTGTTAACAAACCAAGCAGTATATATGAAAGTGTCAAAAAGCTTCAAGGAGAACTCACTTATATATGTCATCAATGTCAGAAAAGAAAATTCCAACTTGATGAATACATATTTTGAGGTGGTCACACTTATGAGTCTACTCAACCCAATGAATATATAAAAACTAAATGGACATTCTAATTCAAGTGGATTTCTAATAAGTCCCTCAGTTCTTCACTAAAGAACTCAAGAAGATGATTTTGGAGTCCTCATTATGAGAGTTGTATTAAAAATAAATATGAAAAAAAAAAAATTTGAAAGTGTAAAAAGGCTATAATTAAAAAAAAATTGAGAAAACAGGTTCTACCCAGGCAGATGAAACAGGTAGCCCACTCTCCCCTACTCTCTCTTTCTTTCTCAAAGCAAAATGCCATTCACGTTTCAGTTGGATGAAAACCGTGCTAGAAAGCTATGTATGCTGGTGCAGGACAAGAAATATATTACTAACTACCAAGACTATCTTATGTGGCACAGAATTCTGTGTCTTCTATCTCGACACATAAGATTATGCATCAAAATTCACGTATTTCAAAATAGTCATCATTTCTTACAGTTAAGAATGTATTGAATTAGAGAATACAACCCTAAATGCAAGAAACACAATTGTGTTCCTTCTGTGACCATTGAGCTATTATCCGAAGAGCATCACAATTTTTCCTTGGTTTCCTTACCTGATATACGGACTCTCCTGAAAGTAATAGCTAAAACTCATAATCCAAACTCAAGACAAAGCATTCTTACTATTTATTTCAGCTTTTGCCTTCTGTTGCTTTTGCCTAAAAATTTCTTCCTCCTAGCTATAGCACAGTTCTCAATGCTCAAAAAGTAATAACAATAATAAGATCAAAAGAACAGTTGAAACTGCATTTGGCTCTAGATAGGGGCTGAAATTGTATATATCTCTGCATTTTGAAGATCTGTGATTCTTTTCCTCATATTTATTGTCATTTACTATTACTACTACCAGTTATATTTATTTAATTTTCAATGAATAGAGTACTAAAATTGGTTGAAGGATTGTTCTACCAAACCATGCTATTTTAATAACAGATCTTTCAAACTCAAATTCAAGCAATTTGGAATTTGTTTTCCAAACCCATGTTTTGAAAATATGATTTCACTAAAGTTTTGATCTCAAACTATGACTTCAATCATAACAATTGAGACTTCTATAAAGAGCATGACTTACCATATCTAAACCAGTTGGAAGATTTGCAATTGAAGAACCAGCACGTTTAGATAATTTCATAGCTTCAATGCTTTCAGTAACAGAACCAACTTCATTCACCTAAAAAACCATAAAAACACTTCATCAAGCATATAGCTACCACATAATTCCAACAATTAAAGACATGAAGAATAGATAAAAATGTTCTGAAAATACTATTTTCACTCACTAAAGTTGGAAGGTTGTCATGAGGAGTAGATTGGAGTAGATCGGAGCTTCGTTGGGAGGGATTGCTACCCTACAATCAAAGATAAACATGCAAGTAATTTAAATATAAAATAACAAATGATTTGAATCAAAATTTACTTGAATTAAATCATCAAACATTAAATTATCATGTTTAGCTTTTCCTCTTACATCATTTTGCCTTCTTTCTTTGATAAGCATGGCTCTTATCTCATCAAGTTGTTGTTCTAAGTCCAGCACCTTGCCTTCAAGTTTTCTCACGTGCTCATTTTGGTGTACTTGTGCATCAACCTTAGATGGTAATGCCCCAAACCCCAGCCCTCATACACTCCCATGGCGCTCGGGACCAAAAGTATGAAAAATCGCATCATCTTTTATAGATTTTGGACCCTCATCAGTAGAAATCTTATGAAGTTCTTGAACCTTTTTCTAAAAATATAAAGCATGTCTTAATAAATTGATGTGAATGCAAATTATAATACAAAAAAAAAAATGAAATAATATTGGTACCACAGTTGCATCAAGCACTTCATTCATGGATTTTCCTTCCTTCCTCGTTTGTATGCCCTTTAATCCAAACATCAACTCTTGATATGGATGATGGTGCTCGACTTTCACTTCTCTAGAAAATAAAATAGAAAATGAAAATCAACATGATTAAAAACAATCTCATAGTAACCATACTTCATACCCAATTTACAAAACTACTTGAATCACTCTTAAAATTTATTATTCCAATAAAATAACCATATAAAAGCTTAGAAGTTATTGTGCTAGAGAAAAAAACCTTGAAAGATGCACCCAGGATTTATCAATCTAGACCCAGGTAATCTTTGGATACGATTGTGCTCAGAGCTACATGTAATCTCTGGATTCAAACCCAAGTAAATGAGTCCACTTCCAATGAAAGAAGAGGGAAGCAAAAATTTAAAATAAGGGCACTACAATTCTATTTCTTGTCAACAAAACAAATAAATCAAATTATATAAACCATACATATGTCTACTAGGAATTGATGTTAATAGGAATTGATGTTAGCCACTGCTATTGGTTGGGCATACCAATTTAGTTCATAAGAGTTGATGCTTTTATACCATACTGTGTATTTAATTTTGAAATGACTTTTCAATGTTCTTCACAATTGTAAAATGATAGTGAAGGATAAAGGGAATTTGGTAATTTAAAATATTTAGCATTATGTTGGACATTAAGAACCTGGTATGGTGTTAAACAAATAATTTTTCTGTTTAATAGGATTAGTTTTTTTTTTTTTTGCCTTTTAAGTATTAGGTATATTTGGGGTCATTTTTAAGCAATTTAATGAGAGAGAGAGAGAGAGAGAAAAAAGAAGAAAAATCTCTACTATAGTATTCCAGATGTAAAACAATTAACAGTGTTATTATTACTAAACATTTATTATAGAAATCTGTATGTCTGAATGCTAAACATTAAGGCGGAACTTCCCTCTATCATAGAGTTGCATCTTCCCAAAATCCTGCATTATATAAGTTTCCATCTAATAATAGGCCATAGAATACGAGCAAATTGTATGGTACAGAATTTTATTAGTTATTATTATTGCTCCGCTTTGTAGCTAAATGTTAACCTTCCAAATGAATTTCAGTAAACTAAATAAGGTATTGGTGACTATACCATAGTTGTTCTGAATGCCATGCTATAGCAACAAAATGTCTGAAAGTTACTGCCTCTTATCTTTGAAGCTTACATTCTGTAATAGAATTATATGTTCAATATGCAATGTAATGGTTTGTTTCGCTGGAGTTATGATGCAGCCAATACTCATTTTTCAGAAAATAATAACCTATATAGTAGCCTTTATATACAAAAAAAAAAAAAAAAAAAAAAAAAATCATACATATGTCTCATTTTATATACATTCATTGGAAGTCAAAATGAAGTGTTTTTATTAATCTTGACGAGTTGGAGAAACAATAGCCCCACTCAAAGACTACAGTCATTAGTGTGAGTGAAATTTCAGTTGGTCAGAAAGATGCCTCAGCATCAAGTTCTCTCATCAAGCTCTAGAATCATAATCCACAAGCCAAAGTTATTTTAAAAACAAGAAACTAAAAAGCCATCTCATAATAGGACATACATAACTGACAATACTTAAACAGCATAAAACACAGCATATGAACAAGATTTTTGGACAAACCAAGCATTATTATATATTTGCTATTCAACATTTACAAAGAGAAATTTTCAAAACTGTTAACATTTCATCCCAAACATAGCAACCTAGAAACCAAAAGCAAGCAAAATCAGAAAATCAGATTTGGACTTCCCAAATATTGAATAAGGTTCACTTTGCAAATGAATGAAATTTATTTGAGACAAAAATAGAATTTCCCAAACAATGCAAGCTTGCGTATTCAAAGATTAGAAATTACCTTCACAAAGAGCAAGCTTAACCTTCCTTCCCTTGCAATGTTTGAAAGCAAAAAGCTTGTATATATCAATCTCTGCTAGAAGGATATCAATGGCCTGATGATCTTTCTGAAAAATTCAATTCTCCATAAAATCAAAATGGGGAAAAACAGAAACCTTAATGTTCAACAGAAAATAATCACAAAAAATTTAATTTCCCGTTCTTACAGGTAAAATAGAACTGGATTAGTTTCCACCTCACTATATGAACTATATGAACTTCATGAATCTATGATTGTTAAGTAGAGAGGCAAATCAAATAAGAACTAGCCAAGCTGAAGTCACAACCCATACGTGCTTTCATTTAGAATGTACAATCAATCATACTGGTTAAATGCACTTCATTTTCTTCCATTTTACAGTAACCTTGGCTGAGGAAACACCAACTGTATTAAATGATAAACTCATAACTTTCTTGTTAATAAATGTTTAATTATCGATCCACTGGATCACATTAGCTATCATCAGAAAAAAAAAAAAAACAAACAAACTAGACTGATTGATATACCAGAACATTCATCAGATGGAACGACAACTAAGCTGCCTTTGTCATACAAGTAGTTCTGTTTATACTGTTGTTTAGCTCACAAACTGTATAAGTCCCAAAATAATAGAGATACAAAGGCAGTGGCTTTCTCTTCCCTCTCTCTTGTAATAGTTTATTGCAGTTTGATAAATATAATACACTAGTGGCTCCAATAGAAATATCAATAGTACTTTATTGCTCTGGGAACTAATGATATATATGACTGCCATGATTATAGGAATTAAGGTTAAGAATGGCTGTCATATTTAAGTGGGTACGTACATCTTATTTGGAATCAAATATGTAAGTGTTCATGAGGCAAGTGAAAGAATGTTTGATTCATGAAAATCATCATTACTGGCCTTAATGGCCATACTTGTTATATTCATGAATTTTTGATTGACTTTAATGATCATATTAAAGTGATTCATGGAACCTATGTGACTGTGTGAATCTTAAATGCATCCCCATTATCACATTAAAATGCTTACGAAATCTAAAGAACAAATCATGAATGTTCATGGGATATTTTTTTTCTTTTTTAATTGGTAGAAAAATATGAAAAGAATTACATTCAGAATTATAGTCCAATAGTAATAAAAACTCGAAAAACCAATCTAATAACTACCCAAGTTAAGAAAGAACACCATAATGAGGATATAATAAACAATACAACAAAGACTATCATAATTATTAAATTTAACATTAAATATTGCATATTTAAATATGATACGATGAGATATAATACAATAGAAATAAAGACAGAAAATGGATTGTCTACTCTTAACAGATAAAGATAAGTATAAAGCTTTTCCCACACTCTATTTATATGCAACATATACAATTTTTTCCTACTAACTTTTCATCTAATCACCAGAAGAAAACAAGCATTAAAAAAGTGTCTAAGGAGAGAGAGAATTTGTAATCTGCTCCACATTTGTTGGTGTGAAGGTTAAATTAGCTTTTGGTGTGGAGACTAAAGCAACAATAAAAGGTGGTATTCTATTCAACCATAACTACATGGCTCCAATAGAAAAGCAGTGGCCTAACCACAAGGAAAATTCAAGCATACCAATAGAAACAAAGAACAGAGCAAAAAAGGAAAAAAGAAGAACATTGAAACCCCCTTTATGCAAAGATTAATAATTAACATTTTGTCATAACTCAATTTGAACACAAAACAACCTACAAAAGAGCTGAGAAGATTTTCATCTTCTTATAAACAAATTCCTTTTTCATACAAATTCGTGCTGATATTGTTTATCAACAGAAAAATTGAAACTAGACGTACAAGAAAATTAGTCCATAGAAAATTCTATCACAATGAAGTAGATATAAATTCTTCATAGATACAAACTCTAAACTTGAAATTGAAATGGAATGCAACTTAATAATAGAAAGAAAAGGTTAATAACAAAAAATAATTCTTTATGATTTTAACAGCAAAACCAAACATATTTAAGTGAAATCGTTCTGAAGTTCAAGAAGAACAGATCAAATTGTTCAGGTGGGAATTTATTACCTAGGTTAGAGGGCAAGAGGTTGAAAGAGAAGCAATTGATCATCTGTATGATGAAATAGACGTCGAACTCGGTGAAAACAAGAGCTTCAATTCCATGCCTGATGTAAAATCTATCAGATTAATCATCTGTAGTCTTCCTTCTGATCACGTAGCAGATATATATATATATATATATATATATGCAGTTTGTGACAAAAATCAAGGGGAGAGAGAGAGAATGATGCAGTTCAGTGAATCAATTTCCCCCAAACCAATGTTCGATCCAATATGAAATTGCGAGGAGGGATCAGAATAGACGAGAAAGAGGCGATCGATGGCGTCGTTTTCGATTGATCTTCGTTCACAGGTTCACAGATGCCGATGGAGAGAAAGGAAAGAGAGAGAGATCCAATCTGGGTTCAATTGATGTATTAACAGTGTGAAGTAGAAAATTAATTAACAGTGTGAAGTAGAAAATTAATTAATAAAAAAAAATTAAAAAAAAAAATCTGGATGGTAAAGAATGTGTAACTTTAATAATATTAGTAAGTAAATAAAAATTGAAGTAAAATATTTTAGACAAAAAAATTTTAAGTATAAGTTTATAAATTATTTTTGTATTAAAAAAATTATACATTATAAATAGAATATCTACTAGATTTTATAAATAAAAAAATTGTCATATCTATTAAAAATCTATCTAATATAGGAAGAAGGTTTTTAAATTTGTCCTATGTGGCAAGAAATTGTCATAGAGATACATTTATAACCAACGGTTCTGATGAATCTTAATCAAAATCTAAGGGCCAAAATCAAAATCTAGTATTGTCTCTGTAACGCCCTCAAAATAATAACAATAAACCCATCAGATAAGACATGCATTTACATTTAAACTAACCGCATTCCTTTCATTCATTAGGAACCGGAGCCATCAGTATTACATGATAACCTCATAACAAAATGCCCTACGGGCTTACAGCTTTCCAAGTTAACACTTGGTTACAACAAAGAGTTCTAACTCGTTTACACATTAAGCCCTTGGCTTGAAATTACATGTA